AGGGCAAAAAGCAGTCCCTGTCACATTGGCATCGTTGGATGTTCTGATGGGTATCTTTTCTCCTCCTCTTTCCCAGGTGAGAAGCCCTACAAATGCACGTGGGATGGCTGCGACTGGCGCTTTGCCCGCTCGGACGAACTGACCCGGCACTACCGCAAGCACACCGGGGCCAAGCCCTTCAAGTGCCTGGCGTGTGGCCGCTGCTTCTCCCGCTCGGACCACCTGGCCCTCCACATGAAGAGGCACCAGAACTGAAGAGAGCATCTCCTCCTCCTCCTCTTCCTCTTCCTCCGTTGCTCCCCTTTTGTACATAGGAACCCCAAAGGCCCTGCGATCAAAGGCCACTCACACATCTGGCTCCCAGCTTGGCTTTGCCCATGGCATAAAACGTTCTGGGCAATATGATGGCTCTGAAGGAGAAATGGAAGTCACGGATGGGAAGCTTCCTTCTCCCCTGAACCAGGACCTGGTTTTGTACTCCGGAGGAACATGCTATTTATTTCTACTTCTTTAAAACTATTGTTCCCTTTGACTTCCTGGGAATAATAACCAGACTCAGGGCTGCAGGATGACATCCCTGCTATGCTTGGACAGGGTCCAAAATTTGCCTCTTTGCTGCACAAGAATCCTGTTGTGCTTTGGTGGCTTTGTCCTTCCAGGAAATGTCACCTTGGCACAAATAAAGATGCCAACTTTGCTGTGGCTCCCTTCAGACGGGCAAGAGAAATTTTCCTCTTTGTCAGAGTTTGGAGGGAGAGCTTCTTTGGCTCCTTTTTGCCAGAGGTGCATAAACAACATTCCTGCGATGGTTTAACCATGGATCCTAATGTCTTTATATGGACCTGTCTGGAGGATGGAGGAAAGAGCAACGCAGAGGAAGCCCTTGTTTTGGTACTTTGGCCACAGACCGAGAATGCGCTGAGAGGCCACCCTTTTGACCCAAACAGACTGCATGGGTTCTACTGAATAAAAACCTTATTCTTTTTCTTCCCTCTTTTGCTGGGCCCAGATGTGGATTTTAAAGCCTCTGTGGAAGGAACTCGTGGCTTGCCTTAATGCCCCCTTGAGCCAGCCATTTGGATTGTGTCTCCCCTACCTCAAAGTCCATGGCCAAAAGGATCTCCCAAACCCCAAGGCAGCTGTGGAACGGAGTAGCCAGTCCTGCGTTTTCTCAGGCCCTTCCAAAGTTTGCTACAGACCGGCTGACCGCTTCAAGTCAAATAGCAGCAAGGACAAGAGTAGAAGCAAAGCAAGGCTTTGAGGAATATTTTTCTAGCAGCTTCCACTTGGAGTGAGTGGTCTTCAAACTGGAAGCAGAGTTGTGGGTCTCCTTTTGACTTTTCTCTTGCAAAGGAGGACTGGGTCACTAGTCTTCTGTGGAACAGGAGAGTCCTTTCCTTTCCTTTCTCTTTGGGCTTCCATTTTGACAAAGGGCTGCCTGTCCAGCTTTGCCCCTAAACCATCCATCAGGGATGGCATATGATGACTACTGATGCTATTGTTGTGTGCCTTCAAGTCATTTCAGACTTATGGTGGTGACCCTAAAGCCAACGTATCTTGGCAAGATTTCTTCGGAGGGCCATCACTGTAATCAAAACCAAAGGAGGTGCAACTCCTGGGATGGAGTGTGTCTCTTTGCTGTATGTGTGTGTGTGTGTGTGCCTATTAAGTTGTGTGCTTCCATAATGTGATGTCTTTGTGAGTCAGCCGGGGAAGAAGGGCAACAGAGTCGGGGGAGACGTCAAGCACATTTTCCATTTGCTTCCATTAGAGTCACCCTGAAGCAAGCGCTGAATCCGTTGGGAAGGGAGGGCTACATGAGAACGTATGGGGCGGTGTGTATTTTGTGCCAAGAAGAAGTCTTCCTTCTGCCTCTCCTCTTTTGTGCTAGATTGCACAGGAAGGTGGGTGCAGATTGCATTCCCCGACATTACGGGAGAAAAGCTGCCTCTTTTCTTTGCATTAAAAATATTGGTCCAAAGTGGGAGCCATGCAAGGTGCCTTTGGTCTCCTCCTCCTCCTCGGAGACATCCCAAATCTGCTCAGTGCTCTTACTACCAGTCATGGTGGGCTCTGGAGGGATGCAATTCTTTGCTAAATTCCTTCTCAAAGAAAGCCTCGAGTAACTTGAGCAATTTGCATTGTGAGAAAGTCTTGGAAAAATGCAATGGATTATTTCCAATTCAGGGCTTATTCTGTGTGAAATTTGTGTGTGTCTCTGTGTGTGATTGTTTTGCACAGAAAGCAGTATTTTCCGTGCAGGAAAGAGTTTTCTGTATAGAAAATAATATATCTGTGAATGTTATTTTATGTGCAGAAGATGCTGCTTCTTTTGAAGAAAATGTTGCTTCCTGTGCAAAACAAAACTAAGGGCTCGCTCGGGTATCCCCTTTGGCTTCTGAGCTCGACCCCCTCCTGCCCCAAAAGTCTGGGTGGGTTTTTGTATATAGAAAGGATAACTGTACAGAATTTTGTATATGCAAACCATAAAGGACAACATTTCCCTTTTATACAAGTGTGTATGTGCATGAGTGTGTATGATATAGCCACTAAAATCACACCTGCCGTGGGTGGGAGGTTTATATTTTGCTTCTAAGGTGTAACTGAGTTTGCATTTTGTAATAAATCTCTAGCAGCGACAGGGGAGCGACATTCGTCCTTCCAAAGGCTGAGACCCATTTTCTGCAGCAATCATTTCCCAATCCATCCCCCACAAAACCAAACACTCCAGTTTCCCCCAATGGAGAAAGGGATACAGCAGGGCAACCTGGGATCACTTTTGTGGTCCACAGATGTTTTTAAAAAAGCATTATTATTATTATTATTATTATTATTTTGCAAAAATGCCCCAAATGCCCACAAATGGTCTATAGGGAGTATGAGGCATTTTTGCCATCCTTCTTGCCCTCCAAGGACTTTTTCAACAACCGGAAATGACTTCTGGGCCAATTTCTGTTGCAAAAATAGGCATCTTTTTTGGTTGGGGTCTAGAACGGCCCAGGGACTCCCCAAAATTATGGTGTCCTAAAGGGAATCCAGGGGCATGTTGGAGGTGTAAGGTCCTCACAGGTTTCCTAGGGGTCCAACGCAGCCCTCTGGCCTCCAACCACGGTCCACTCATGGCATACAGTTTCCACCGAGAATGGCTAGGAATCTAGGATCGAACCTGGAACGGCTTAACATATTTGCAATGTTACCTGGACAGGTGAATGGATATGCTTTAGCTCCTTTTGGGCCGGTGTGAAGCTTCCTGCAAGTTCCTGGTTGTCACAGTCAAGTCCATAGACGGAAGAGAAAGGGACGGAGCGACTCCCTTGTCCTTGACCAAGAGCTCTGTGGGATCTGGAAGCTGCCCACAGAGACAACCCTCGTGCCACCAACCGACCCTCCGTCACACAAGGATTGCAGGGCCTTCCTAGGAGGAGGTCAAGGGGAGAACTGCATTTGGGAGAGGAGTGCCTTTGCAAGAAGGAAGGAATCCTTCTTTCTCCCCAGATGTTTTGTTTTTTAATTTAAAAAAAGATAAAATACAAACAAAGTGGCCTTGTTTCTTGTTCCCTGCAGGAGTCAAACTCCATGTGTAGTTTGTTTTTAGAACATATGTATATTTATATATATAAATACACACATATATATATATATTTCTAAAACTGAATAAAGTAAAACAGATGCGTATCACCAGAGTGTTCTGGATCAAATGTTATGAGTGGGGAGTGTGGCACGTCTCCTGGAAATGGAGGACACTGGGCAAAGTGGACAGGAGGACACTGGGCATGGCAGACCGGACCGACCTCGAAATCTTCCTCCTCCAGCACCCAAAATCCTAGCATTGCAGACGGAGAGACCTTGGAAATCCAGAATTCTTGTTCTTTGCCGCATTCGCATTCCCTTGGCCACTTGGTTTGCCTCTTTTCCTTGCATGCACAAACTGTATTTCTATATTCTCAACTGACATTTTAAGTTACTGCCATGCTAGAAATTGGGGGGACTAAAAGAAAACCATTTCCATTTGTTATTTTGTTGTTTTGGGTTTCCCAGGGTTTTGTTTTGTCCCTTGTTTTGAAATTTTTATTTTATTTTATCAAAGCTAAAACTGTTAGGAATCCGCTTTCTTGTAGCAGAGGAACATTCCTCAATCTGAGGTTACTTCCACCTAGAACCGAAACTGACTCAAAATAAACAAAAAAGGCAGTTTTAGGTTACAAACTTAGAAAAAGTTTGCAAATGGCTTTTGCATTGACATATGCATGTGGAGAGTCTATGTCCTAATTAATTAATGAAATAATGTTGTTGTTGTTGTTGTTGTGTGCAAGTCATTTCTGACTTAGGGTGACCCTAAGGCAAACCTATCATGGGCTTTTCTTTTGTTCAGAGGAGGACTGCCATGGTCTTCCCCTGAAAAGATTAGGAAAAAGAGCTTCAGTTTTTAACTCACAATTTGTTGATAGAAAGGTGAAGGTGAGAAAAGAGTCAGAAAAAAAGAATAAGAATGGAGAAGTAAGACTGAGAAAAGATGAGGAATCATTATAGGACCAATGGCCCTAGGAAGGTCTAGCAGCAGCTCCTTGGATATCCAAAAGGTATTTATGACCATATCTTTCAAAGGAGAGGAACAGCAAATGGGGAGGGGAAGGATTTCGCATGCAGGACATTCTGTCCTATCTAAATCCCAATTAATCTAACAGCAAGAGAAGCGAGAGAGAGAGAGAGAGAGAGAGAGAATATTGGAATTTTCCAAACATGCTCACATTTCCCCTTTGCTCCTTCTTCCTCCTCCATGAAAGCCTAACCCTAATCTCCGTTTTCATGGAGGAGGTCCAGAACGGCTCCCCTGCGAAAATGGAGGGCCAACTCTCTCTCTCTCTCTGTGAATCTCCTCCAAGCATAGTAAAACGGTGTCCATTATATTGTCATTGTGGGCATTCAAGTTGGAGGTTTGCCATTGTCATCCCCTGAGGCTGAGAGAGTGTGACCTGGCCAAAGTCACCCAGTAGGTTTCATGCCCAAGCTGGGAATCAAACCCTGGTCTCTGGAGTCGTAATCCAACAATCAAACCACTATGCCATGCTGTCCTTTATATAAAATGGCAACAAGGTTTGGGTTTTTTTGGAATATATATATATATATATATATATATATATAT